CCCAGCCGGGAGACCCCTCCCCTCCCGAAAATACGGGTTTTTTCTGCTTCTGCAGCCGCTTCTCACCCCAGGAAGAGAGACGGAGGAGGAAGAGTCCCAGGCGAGGAAGGAAACGCACACGCGACCCGGGGGGGGGGCAGGAGGGGGGCGCATGAAAAATAAAGGGGAAGACCAGGATGGTGGAGAGAGGGGACCAGACTCCAGTTCAGAGCAAGAGGGACCCCTGCCATCCTTGCCCCGTGTTTCCTGCCAGAAAACCAGTTTCTCCTGGGCTCCCAGAACCACATGGAGGCAGGAGACCCATTTCCCACCCCAGAGCAGGGCTGGACCAATCAGAGGCCTCTCCATTGGGCAGCTGGCCAATCCCCTTTCAGATTCCCCTGGGCCTCCTCCTCTCCTTCGCCCGGTTTCCTGAGGGAGTTTTCCCCCTGAGTTTCCCTCATGGCTGCTCCCCTCCCAGCTTCTCCTTCATTTCTCCTTCCTTCTCTTCCTGTTCCTCTTTCCCCCCATTATTTGGGGCAGCTGGATTCCCACCCCCCATGGCCAGGCAGGCCCAGGAGGAGCCCACGGAGGCGGCAGGGCCAGGAGAAGGCGTTTCCCGCCCTTTTCCGAAATAGGAGGGAAGGCCATTTTGTTTTTCCCGGAGGCCCCAGCCGCTCCCAGAGTCAGCGTTAGGAGAAGGGCTCCACCTGCAGGCCTAGGGGAAAGGTGGGCTCTTCCCCAGACGAGGCTGGAGACTCCCCTGCTGGCCCCTCGGGGTCCCAGGAGCCCTTTATGGATGGCCCTCGCTTGTTCCTCCCCCTCAGGTAGTAGTTCAACAGGAGAAGTCTCAGGGGGCCAGTGGAGCCCAGTGTGGGAAATGGGGAAATTGTTGAACTGGGGTCCTCCCAGTCCAGCCCAGACAAGAAAGAGAGGGAGCTCTCAGAAGAGGAAGCCATTGCGGAGAAGAACCGGACTTGGCTGTTCTCTGCTGAGGATCTCCTGCCTTTCTTCCAAGGCTTCCTGGGGGTGCCATGGTCAGAGGAAGAGACAGGCTGCCCCCCCCCCGAATCCCCTGCAGGGCCCTGGGGAGCAAGTTGAGCCTGCCTCAGTTTCCTTCCCCAAGGCTTTGGAGGAACCTTGGGGTGCGGAAGGAGGGATCCCAAATGGAGCTCAGGCTCCTGGCAAGTGGGGAAAGGAACATGATATAGCACTTTCCAGATGAGTCTCAATACAATACGATAATCTTTATTGTCACTGTCCCATACAGAACGAAATTGAAAAAATGTACATCAGACATTCAAAAACCAACAAGCCTGCTATCCCAGCTATCCCAACCTGGTTAGCCCCCCCTAAAAACTCTGATACCCCATAATTAAATACAATATACTCCCATAGAGACTACCTTACACTGCATTTAAAACCAAAATCACATTTGGATAGAAACTGTTTCTCAGGCGGCTAGTCCTAGTCTTTATAACCCTGTACCTTCTTCCAGAAGGCAGAAGCTGAAAGAGATCATTTCCGGGGTGCGCACTATCCTGCACTATCTCTGCAGCTTTCTTACGTAGCACCTACAGCAAATGCCTGCAGGGCCATGAGTAGTATGCATGAAAACATCAATGCTAAATTGAGCAGATACCCGGAGGCAGTGCGGATTATTGCAGGGGACTTCACTCACACAGATGTGAGGGCAGCACTCCCAAAATCCCATCAGCACATTGAGTGTGCAATAAGGGGAGAAAATACTCTTGACAAGATGTATACGAACATTAGACGGGCATATGAGGCGCACCTCGGTGGTTCAGATCATGTGTCCCTGCTTCTGACACCAGTGCACACACCCCTCAGGAAACAAGGCCAGCTACAAACATGGATGGTTACGGTGTGGCCTGAGGGAGCCTCTCAGCAGTTGCAGGACTGTTTCTAGGAGACCGATTGGAATATGTTCGACCATCAAGATCTAGAAACTTCTGCATCAACGGTGTTAGATTTGGCACAGGAAACGCACCAGGGAAAGGTATGTTAAGTTGTATCCGAATAGGAAGCCCTGGATGATGGGAGAGGTTAGGAGATTCTTGAAGGCCAGAAACTCTGCTTTTAGAACTGGGGACCGGGTACCGTATGGTATAGAAAGAGCGAACTTGAAGAGGGGTATCAGGAAAGCAAAAGCGGAGTACAGAGGAAAAATCGAGGACCATCTAAGAAATGATACTAGACAAATGTGGCAGGGAGTTCAACATCTGACTGGTTATAAATCGAGAAATACATCAGTGGTAGAGAGTACAGCTTCCTTGGTGGGAGAGTTGAAGACCTTCTTTGCCCAATTTGAGGTGACACCAACAGTGGCTCCAACAGGGATGTCAGAGCTATTGGCCTCACTACCTGCAGGAAAAGCTGTCAGGGTGGAAGAGGGAGAAGTGAGGCAAATATTAAAGGAGGTAAACACGAGGAAGGCTATGGGCCCGGATGGGGTGGCTGGCAGGGTGCTAAGAGATTGTTCGGACCAACTGGCAGGCATCTTTATGAAGATTTTTAACCAGTCTCTGGCCCAAGCAGCCGTTCCACCCTGTCTGAAATCCGCTCCCATCATTCTGGGCACCACAGTTCAAGAAGGACACTGACAAACTGGAACGTGTCCAGAGGAGGGCAACCAAAATGGTCAAAGGCCTGGAAACGATGCCTTATGAGGAACGGCTAAGGGAGCTGGGCATGTTTAGCCTGGAGAAGAGGAGGTTAAGGGGTGATATAATAGTCATGTTCAAATATATAAAAGGATGTCACATAGAGGAGGGAAAAAGGTTGTTTTCTGCTGCTCCAGAGAAGGGGACACGGAGCAATGGATCCAAACTACAAGAAAGAAGATTCCACCTCAACATTAGGAAGAACTTCCTGACAGTGAGAGCTGTTTGACAGTGGAATTTGCTGCCAAGGAGTGTGGTGGAGTCTCCTTCTTTGGAGGTCTTTAAGCAGAGGCTTGACAACCATATGTCAGGAGTGCTCTGATGGTGTTTCCTGCTTGGCAGGGGTTGGACTCGATGGCCCTTGTGGTCTCTTCCAACTCTATGATTCTATGATTCTATACCCCTGCCAAAAAACCCAAAGATAGTCTGAATGATTTTTGCCCTGTGGCATTGACACCCATTATAATGAAATGTTTTGAAAAAGCAAAGAGATCCACGGAGGATGCTGTGGAAATGGCATTACATGCTGTCCTGACTCATTTGGAGAAGAAAGGGAACTATGCGAGATTGTTATTTGTAGACTTTAGTTCTGCATTTAATACTATTCTTCCGCATAGATTGGTGCCCAAACTATTAGACCTGGGACTTCCACCATGTTTGTGCAGGTGGATATTAAATTTTCTATCAAACCGTTCCCAACGGGTCAGGGTGGGTTCCCACGTCTCTGCGGATCTCATGAACTCCGGAAACAGTGAACAACACAAGCTATGATCTCGTTTGAGGAATGGGAATTAACATGCCTGCTTCCCCATCCTCAGTGGATTAAAATGTCCAAAGATTAGGAAAAGAAGAAAGAAGAGGAAGCAGGATTGGATGAACATTATAAGAGACCATAATCTTGGATTGTGACTTGGCTGAGATTTGTTGGAACAGTTTTTCAAAGGCTTTATAGAAACTGGACCTAGAAGCTGGAGAAATACTAATTTGGATTATTAGACGATCATTATAAGAGTCATATTGCACTGTCTGAGTTGGTTAAGATTTGAAAGCTGGGCTAGGGAGGGAGACGAAGGGAATGTGTCATCTTGGTGAAGAGGAGAAGAAGAAGAAGAGTTTGGATTTGATATCCCGCTTTATCACTACCCGAAGGAGTCTCAAAGCGGCCAACATTCTCCTTCCCCTTCCTCCCCCACAACAAACACTCTGTGAGGTGAGTCGGGCTGAGAGACTTCACAGAAGTGTGACAGGCCCAAGGTCACCCAGCAGCTGCATGTGGAGGAACAGAGACGAGCACCCGGTTCCCCAGATTACAAATCTACCGCTCTTAACCACTACACCACTGTATGCTAAATACAGCTGGGTTTATTCTGGAGTGCAAATTATGAATAATTGTTGCTACAGATGATTTTCAGATGGAGATGGGAGTTTTCTTTTCGGTGCCTGCCCTGTGGAACACCCTCCCAGCACATGTCAAAGGAAAAAACAACTACCAGACTTTTAGAAGACATCTGAAGGCAGCCCTGTTTAGGGAAGCTTTTAATATTTGATGCATTACTGTATTTTAATATTTTGTTGGAAGCTGCCCAGAGTGACTGGGGAATCCCAGCCAGATGGGAAGGGTATCAATAAATCATCATCATCATCTATTTTTTGTATTTTATATTAAGATTCCTTTATTTTGAATTTAGGAGGACACACATAGGAAGAGGAGAGTTGGAGGTGCGAGGGACCTGCAAGGAACACAGGGAAGGAAGGATCTCTCAGGGTGGGATACGGGGAGAAGAGGGGGTCACGCAGGGGAGAAGTGGGGGAGCCTGTCTTTCTATGGGTTGATGAATGATATCATATATATGATACAAATGCCATAAACAGTATTTTTAGTTTATATCCCCCCCTTTTTCTTTTCTATACAATTGTATTTTGTAAGGATTGTTTAATATTTTTGTTTTATTTCTCTTTTTTGGTTTCCCCTCTGTATGAATTCTTTGATGGGAAGTGAGACTGGTGCTATGACTGAAGCCTTTTCCACATTCCAAGCAATGATAGGGCTTCTCCCCTGTATGAATTTGTTGATGAGAAGTGAGACTGGTGCTATGAGTGAAGCTCTTCCCGCATTCGAAGCACTGATAGGGTTTTTCTCCTGTATGAGTTCTTTGATGGGAAGTGAGATTCTGCCTGAGACTGAAGCTCTTTCCACATTCCAGACAATGATAGGGTTTGTCCCCTGTATGAGTTCTTTGATGCAAAGTGAGCTTTGTCCCCTCCCTGAAGCCCTTCCCGCATTCGAAGCACTGATAGGGTTTCTCTCCTGTATGAATTCTGTGATGGGAAGTGAGATCACCACTCTGACGAAAGATCTTTCCACATTCCAGACACTGTATGAATTCTTTGATGGCAAGTGAGATGGGTGCTTTGACTGAAGCTCTTTCCACATTCCAAGCACTGATAGGGTTTTTCTCCTGTATGAATTCTGCGATGGGAAGTGAGACTGGAGCTATCAGTGAAGCTCTTTCCACATTCCAAGCACTGATAGGGTTTCTCCCCTGTATGAATTCTTTGATGGGAAGTGAGATGGGTCCTTTGACTGAAGCTCTTTCCACATTCCAAACACTGATAGGGTTTCTCCCCTTTATGAGTTCTTTGATGCAAAGTGAGCTTGGCCCCCACCCTGAAGCTCTTCCTGCATTCGAAGCACTGATAGGGTTTCTCCCCGGTATGAATTCTTTGATGGGAAGTGAGATGTGCGCTTTGATTAAAGCTCTTCCCACATTCCATGCACTGATAGGGTTTCTCCCCTGTATGAATTCTGCGATGGGAAGTGAGACTGTGACTGAAGCTCTTTCCGCATTCCAAGCACTGATAGGGTTTCTCCCCGGTATGAATTCTTTGATGGGAAGTGAGATGTGCGCTTTGATTAAAGCTCTTCCCACATTCCATGCACTGATAGGGTTTCTCCCCTGTATGAATTCTGCGATGGGAAGTGAGATTGCCCCTCTGACTGAAGCTCTTCCCACATTCCAAGCACTGATAGGGTTTCTCCCCGGTATGAATTATTTGATGGAAAGTGAGATGGGTCCTTTGACTGAAGCTCTTCCCACATTGCAAGCACTGATAGGGTTTCTCCCTGCTCTGTCCTCTTTTGTGTGCAGTGAGGCTATCCCTCTGAACGAAGCTCTTTCTTTGACGGGAGGTGTCCTGGGAGCTCTGACCGATGTTCTCTCCACACTCTGAATGTTTATTTGACTTCTCCGCTATGTGGATTCTGTTGTGCTCCCCCTTGTTCTTCCCTTCCAGTTCATCTCCATCTGCAATGAAGAGAGAAGCGAATTAGAGCCTCAGAAAAATGGAGCTCCAGATCATTGAACCAAGTTAATTAATGCTTGTGATAGAGGAAGAACTAAAAATAGTTAGATGTGGGGCCTCTCTATAGTTTTCACTGCCTTTGTTGGCGGTATTTACTGACATATTGCTTGGCTTTTATCTGGAATGGATTTTGTTCTTGCTCAATCCTGGAATCCACTCCATCTCCAAGGTCAGTCATCTCTTTGGTCAATCAAATGCAAACAGAAGCAAAAACAACACGCCTGACAGAATTTACATCAACTTCCCTAAAAACTCTGAAGCCGGCATTTAAGAAGGCCTGGGTGGTTCAGAGAAGCCTGTTCACTGTTTTAAAAGGCATGACTAGACGCAGAACATTCACAGAGGAAACAGCTGATATCCCTCCATTCTGGGTTCACGGTGGGGGATATTAGAATCCCAGATGCTGTTGGTCTCCAACCAAAGAGTTGAAGTTCATCACATACAGGTATGTATGGAACGTCCACGTCTCGTCTGTGAAACAAACAGCAACATCTTCACCTGAACACTCCCCATCAGCTGCTGCCTCAATCTAGTCGGTCTAAATTTAAATTTATACGTAAATCACTTTCTTCACTTTGAACTCCCCTCCCATGTCCATGAGGAGACCAACTCTGTATTTTTTCATTAGCAACAGAAGAGGAAACGTGACTATAACTCAGTTCAAACCAATTCATGAACCCAGAACTCATACACCGACCACTAATGATGAACCATATGTTACTAGATATTCCTGCAAATTTATTCTGCTATTTTTGAGATGCAAATGGCATGCGAAGACTTAGTCTTCATATTTGTATCATTTATTAGTCCTATGATCCTTGTTTTTAAAAGCAAATAAGAAGTTAATCCAAAAAGAAAAAGACAGCACACAGAGGCCCCATCTGCATTCAAACTGCAAAGCAGGATCAGTGAGTTTTCTGACATTGGCAGGGCATTCAGATCACAGAACTGGTTTAGACATTTAGAGCTGCCAATTCATCGCGTTGGGTGGGGAGCTGTGATCTATTCCTGGCTCAAATTGCCTGCAGATGACAAAGGCGCAGGCAGGCAGGCAGGCAGGCAGGCAGGTGGGGGAGCCCAAAAAGGTGCTCCCCTTCTCCATCTCCATCCGCCTGCCTCCCCCCCCACCCCAATTCCTCTCTGGCTCCTTCCATCCAGGTCCCCATCTCCCCTCCCCTGGGACTCACCAGATCTCTCGGAGGTCCTTGGGAGGGAACACTCAGAGGTTGAGAGGAGGGACGCAGGAGACAACCTGACCAGGTCATCCGTCCATCTTCTTCCCCCTTCCATTCTCACTAGGTTTGCAGAATCCGTCCCTTTTATCTTTCCTGAGGAGACAAGGAGCCAGAACGAGCTGGAGGGTCCTGGGAGAGAGGAAGAAGGAAAGGCAGCCTCAGAGGCCCTGCAGTGATTCTCCTGCCCCTGGAGAAGCACAAATGGGGCAGCCCCTTCCCAACAGAAGCCCCATTTCTATACCTCTCCAGTGGTTCCAAAAAATCAGGTAGGCTACTTGCATGGCAATTAAAGAAAAAATAAGAAGAGAGAGTAATAGAGAAATGAAAAATAATTGAAGATCCTAAAGAAATATGCAAAGAAAAATTAAATTACTATAGGAAGTTTTACCGTGCAAAAGAAGAAGACCAAGAGGAAATGGAAAGATACATAGCACAAAATGGAATCCCACCAATAGCAGATTGGAAAATAGAACAACTAAATGTACCCACAGCGATGATGGAGGTGCAGCAATCTCAAAAGCAAAGATAGGAAAGTCCCCAGGTACGGATGGATTACTGGCGGCATTTTATAAGAAGTTAGAAGATATATTATCAGAACCAATGAAACAGTACTGGACCAAATTTTAAAGGAAGGAAGAATACCAAAATCATGGGAAGAAGCATTTATCACACTGATACCCAAACAAGGAGCAGATCCAACACTCATCAAAAATTATAGACCTATATCATTGTTCAATAATGAGTATAAAATATATTGAATGAAATAATACACAGAGATCAGGCTGGCTTCTTACCAGGCAGACACATGCACAATAAAATGAGAAACATAATTGATATTTTAGAATATTTAGAAGCAAGATCAGATAAAAAGCCATTTTGATGCTGATAGACATGGAGAAGGTCTTCGACAACATCTCTTGGAGCTTCATTGTCAGAAAACTGCCATCAGTGCTGGAGGGAGAGAGCAAAAGCCAGAGGGATTCCAGAGAGCGTCCAGGGATCGGGAGAAGCAGCCCATCTTCTGGGGAAGAGAATCAGCGTAGCACCAGTGGAGATGGGGGGCAGATGGGGGAAGCGGCGAGGCGGTCCCATGACTCCTTGCCTGGGACCAGCGGGGAGAGTAGGGGTCCTCCGTTGCCCACGCCCTCCTTGCGCAGAAGGCTTCCGCGCAGAGAGAGTAGGAGGTGACTAGGCGTCAAAGAGCTTCTTTGCTGGAAGAAGTTTAAGAAACGCCCACTGACGGATTCTGCCAGCGATTGAGTCAGCCATGGGTAAGTGGCTGTCCGGACAGAAAAGGTTCACTTAGGCAACCCAGCCAGGTGTTTGCACCCAGCCGGGGAGATAAGCACCGGCTTACGCACGAGCAACCCCTAGAACCATTACATTCATGAAAAAAAATACAGAAAAAACAGGACTTGGAGAAAATATTATTAGGGGTATTGAGGCAATATATTGAAATCAGAGAGCCAAATTGATACTAAATCGTGAAATAAGAGAAGTAAAGTAAGTAAGGGGACCAGGCAAGGCTGCCCCCTTTCGCCTCTACTTTTTATTACGGTACTAGAATTCTTAGCAATGACAACAAGGAGTGACCAAGGCATAAAAGGTCTAACAATGGGGAAGAAGTCGCACAAGATGAAGGCCTTTGCAGACAATTTAATTCTAACTTCTGAAAATCTGGAGGAAAGCATACCAGAAATAAGAGGGAAAATCCTTGAATTTGGAAGTGGCAGGATTTAAATTAAATAAAAATAAGACTAGTATGCTAGCAAAAAATATGTCAACACAGGAAAAAGAAGAACTAAAGAAAATATCAGGATTGGAAACAGTAAATAAAACTAAGTATTTGGGAATCTGGCTGACAAATGAAAACACCAATCTATTTAAAGACAATTATATTAAAACATGGAAAGAAATCAATTTTGAATCATATAATAAGAAAATTGATATGTAGAGTATAGGAAAAACATAAAGTGGTCTTAGAACCTAAAACCCCCTGGTGGATTTCACCTCAGGAAGCAATAACTGCGGGAAAGAAAAATATGGAATTGAATTGGGCCACTTTCACTGCCTTGTTGTGACGAAGGGGCTTGAATAACTCAGAGACGCTATGAGCTAAGCTGTGCAGGGCCACCCAAGATGGACAGGATATAGTGGAGAGTTTAGACCAAACGTGATCCACCTGGAGGAGGAACCGGCAAGCCACTCCAGTATCCCTGCCAAGAAAACTCCATGGACAAAGGCAACAGGCATATAAAAGTTATGACGCTGGAAGATGAGCCCCTCAGGTCGGAAGGCGTCCAACATGCTACTGAGGAAGAGCGGAGGACAAGGACAAGTAGATTCGGAGCTGATGAAGCAGCTGGGCCAAAGCCGAAAGGTAAGCTGGATGTGGTCAAAATGAGATGGCAAGAATAAATATTGACATCCTGGGCATCAGTGAACTAAAATGGACAGGGATGGGCGAATTCAGTTCAGATGACCATCATAACTACTACTGTGGGCAAGAATCCCGTAAAAGAAATGGAGTGGCCCTCGTAGTCAAGAAAAGAGTGGCAAAAGCTGTACGGGGATGCAATCTGAAAAATGATAGAATGATCTTGATACGAATCCAAGGCAGACCTACAAGAAATAGAATACAGATTTCCAAAGAATAGCAAGGAGAGACAAGAGGGCCTTCTTAAACGAGCAATGCAAAGAAATAGAGGAAAACAATAGAATGGGAAAAACAGAGATCTGTTCAATGAAATTGGAGATATGAAAGGAACATTTTGTACAAAGATTACCATAATAAAGGACAGAAGTGGTAAGGACCTAACAGAAGCAGAAGACATCAAGAAGAGGTAGCAAGAATACACAGAGGAATTATACCAGAAAGATATGGATGTCTCGTACACCCCAGGTAGTGTGGTTGCTGACCTTGAGGCAGACATCCTGGAGTCAAATGGGCCTTAGAAAGCACTGCTAATAACAAGGCCAGTGGAAGTGATGATATTCCAGCTGAACTATTTAAAATTTTAAAAGATGATGCTGTTAAGGTGCTATACTCAATATGCCAGCAAGTTTGGAAAACTCAGCAGTGGCCAGAGGATTGGAGAAGATCAGTCTTCATCCCAATCCCAAAGAAGGGCAGTGCCAAAGAATGCTCCAACTACCGCACAATTGCACTCATTTCACACGCTAGCAAGGTTATGCTTAAAATTCTACAAGGAACGCTCAAGCAGTATGTGGACCGAGAACTCCCAGAAGTGCCAGCTGGATTTAGAAGAGGCAGAGGAACCAGAGACCAAATTGCAAACATGCGCTGGATTATGGAGAAAGCTAGAGAGTTCCAGAAAGACATCTACTTCTGCTTCATTGACTATACAAAAGCCTTTGACTGTGTCGACCACAGCAAACAATGGCAAGTTCTTCAAGAAATGGGAGTGCCTGATCATCTCATCTGTCTCCTGAGAAATCTTTATATGGGACAAGAAGCTACAGTTAGAACTGGATATGGAACAAGTGATTGGTTCAAAATTGGGAAAGGAGTACGACAAGGCTGTATTTTGTCTCCCTGCTTATTTAACTTATATGCAGAATTCATCATGCGAAAAGCTGGGCTGGATGAATCCCTAGCCGGAATTAAGATTGCCGGAAGAAATATCAACAACCTCAGATACACAGATAACACAACCTTGATGGCAGAAAGTGAGGAGGAATTAAAGAACCCTTTATTGAGGGTGAAAGAGGAGAGCGCAAAATATGGTCTGAAGCTCAGCATCAAAAAAACGAAGATCATGGCCACTGGTCCCATCACCTCCTGGCAAATAGAAGGGGAAGAAATGGAGGCAGTGAGAGATTTTACTTTCTTGGGCTCCATGATCACAGCAGATGGTGACAGCAGTCACAAAATTAAAAGACGCCTGCTTCTTGGGAGACAAGCAATGACAAACCTAGACAGCATCTTAAAAAGCAGAGACATCACCTTGCCAACAAAGGTCTGTATAGTTAAAGCTATGGTTTTCCCAGTAGTGATGCATGGAAGTGAGAGCTGGACCATCAAGAAGGCTGATCGCCGAAGAATTTATGCTTTTGAATTCTGGTCTGGAGGAGACTCTTGAGAGTCCCATGGACTGCAAGAAGATCCAACCTCTCCATTCTGAAGGAAATCAGCCCTGAGTGCTCACTGGAAGGACAGATAGTGAAGCTGAGGCTCCAATACTTTGGCCACCTCATGAGAAGAGAAGACTCCCTGGAAAAGACCCTGATGTTGGGAAAGATGGAGGGCACAAGGAGAAGGGGACGACAGAGGACGAGATGGTGGGACAGTGTTCTTGAAGCTACCAGCATGAGTCTGACCAAACTGCGGGAGGAAATAAAACACCACCTAACAGGGTGGATCCAGTATCACCAAATAAATGAGGTCTTCAAAGCTGACAAGAAAAAGGGTTTTGCAATTTCAGTATTGGATAAAGAATTATTACAAAACAAAACAAAACAAATTTCTAAAATGTATGGAATCTTAGTGGAGTGGAAGGATATGGATGAACAGGTAAAGGCAGTAATGATCAAATTGGCTATGGATTTAGGGAAACCTATTCAATTAACATCATGGGAAAAATTATGGAAGGAGAGTTGGAATTTTACGGCTTGTGAGGCAAGTAGAGGGGACACTTCTGCCTATGTGGTGGCCATGTGATAAAATCAAGGGCTTCTGGGATACGGTGTATGAAGAACTAAAGAAAACTTTTGAACAAAATTTTGCCCCAAAGGACAGAAGCCTTTTTATTGGGAATATTAGATGTAGATATACAAAAAAAAAAAAAGGAAATATTTCTTTGTGCCACAGTGGCAGCGAGAACCTTAATTGCCCAAATTGGGAAAAAGGAAATAATTCCGTCAAAAAAAAGCTCTCTTTGGAGGAGGGTCCCTGGCACTCGTGGAGAGACCATAAATTTTGTAACTACTCCGGGTCAACGCTATCTTTCCCCTTAATTCCTCATGAAGTTTCCTAATACCAGTTATACCATATGGCTTATACCATTTCCTAAGATTCTCTGATTATCCCTGCTGTGTTTTATTTAATGGAAATTGAGACTGGTTTCCTAGGTGAAGCTTTTTCCACATTCTAAACAGTCCCTTGCAGGAAATATTTCATGGAAAATTAGATTCACCACCTGAATGAAGCTCTTTCTACATTCCAAGCACTGATCTGGGAAGGGAGTTACTGCCTTTTTTGGCTGGTATTACCTAATTTATTTATGGGAACTGGAGATTCGAAAAGCCTGGCTCGTTCCAGGGATAGATTTAATTTGGCTCAGTCGTGGAATCCGCTCCATCTCCAAGCTCAGTCATTTCTTTGCTCAACCAAAAACAGACAGATGGAGAAAGGGAAAAAGAAAATTAGACAGGATGTACCTCCATGTCCTTAATATCTCTGAAGCCTACATTGAAGAAGGCCTGGGCAGCTCAGACCAGCCTCCTCACGGTTTGAAAAGGCAGCACTGGTGGAAGAATATTCCCAGACAGAACAGGAGATACATCTCCTATTGAGTTTTCCATTCCAGGAGAGTTGTGGGTGTGTTAACATCTCAGATGCTGCAGGTGGCGCTATGGGGCTCCCTCAAAATAGAGGAGGTTTGTCCTTCAGAGATCTGTATGGAATTTCAAAACTGATCTTATGATCCAGCAGGGAGCCTTACCAGAGGGGCCACGATCCCAGGAATCTCCTCCTTGACTTCCTTCTGCAGAGCTCTCTGGTCAGGATCCAGCAAAGCCCAGTCCTCCTCTGTGAAAGGAACAGCTACGTCTTCAAAGCACACTGGACCCTAAGAGAAAAAGGGAGCATTTCTAAACATTGCTCTGTTCTTTTCTGAAACCATTTTGTTGTGTATTTAAATGATGGGTATTAATCTTTGTGTAAATGGGGGAATTCCACAAAATAATGTTTTTTTATCTATATGGCACTCATCTTCAAGTAAATCTTTGCAAGCATTCCCATTTTCCAGATGGAAGGACCTCCTCTCCCTTCATCTGGTGCGTTGGACCCTCCCAATGCCCTCAAGCCAACTTCCAGGGGCACCAGGAGGGGGAGGGGAGGGAATTGTGCATTGTGAGGGGAGGGAATGGTTGGCTGGTTGGCAGTCATCTGTCTTGGGAGACCATGGAAGAGTGTGTCTTTGGGAGTGAGATCCAGTTGTTGGAAGGTCACAGCGCCAGCTGTGGGTGTGGAGAGCGACAGGGGAGAGACATAAACAACTACCTGACATTCAGAAGACATCTTAAGGCAGCCCTGCTCAGGGAAGTTTTAAATGTATGACATAATAGTGTATTTTTCGTTTTTGTGGAAGCCGCCCAGAGTGGCTGGGGAAACCCGGCCAGATGGGCGGGGTACAAATAAATTATTATTATTATTATTATTATTATTATTATTATTATTATTAGTAATATTATGTTGTATAATATAATATTGTTGCATCTGGGACAGAGGAAGTGGTCCTGTTGTGCTGCTGCAGATGCAGACGGGCTTTTCTTCTCCCTGCGCTCCCCCCACGTGGGAATGTTCTCGTCTGGCTGCAGCCTCTGTTCTTAAATGTGACTTTTCCCTCCATCTGAAGGGGGTTTATTTCCTTGACCCAAAACCCCCTCCCTAAAAAGGAAGAGCAGAGCTGCATATTTCCTGCGAAGTGGCCCCTCCCTGGCTTGGCAGAGAGGACAAGGGAGGACCCTCTGCTCCCCGACTTGGGGGTCTCCCCCCCCAGGCATGATCTGAGCAGGGACCCCCATGGCCCCTCCCTGCCCCCCTGGGACCCCCTTCTCCCCATTGCACCCTCAGGGGGAGGAGAGAGGAGACTCACCCGAGTCCAGGAGGGGCTTTTGCAAAGGCGAGAGAAGAAGAAGGCAGGGAGGGAGGGAGGGGGAGGGGGGATTTAGCCATGGAGGACCTTCACCCCCCCTCCACTTCCCGTCCTCTCTAGGAATCCCGCTCTGCTCCTTTTAACCCTTTGCAAGCCGAGGGACCCCCTCCCTCTCCATTCCTGCACTTTTCCGCTTCTGCCCCTGCACTTAGGGGTTTCCCTTCCTCCCCCCCTCCTCCATCTGTGCCAAGGACTCTGCCCCAAGGAGCCCACAGCTTATCCAGACTAACCGCAAGGGAGACGGGGGTTCCCCATTTCTATTCTGCCACATACCCTTGGATCCACACTTTAAAGCAGCTACAAAGTCCAGGAGGGGCTTTTGCAAAGGAGAGAGAAGAAAGCAGGAAGGGAGGGGGAGGGAGGGGCTTCTGCTCTGGAGGACCTTGCCCCCTCCCCCTTCACTTCCCGTCCTCTCTAGGAATCCCGCTCTGCTCCTTTTAACCCTTGGCAAGCCGAGTCCTCCCCTCCCTCTCCCTGCCTTCAGTTTTCCTGCTTCTGCGCCTGCGCTCTAGGGGCTGCCCCCCTTCCCTCCCTCTGCCCCAAGGAGCCCACATCCAACCAGACTAACTGCAAGGGAGACGGGCCGGGTCCATGGGGGGGTTAGCTGGGCTCTCCCCCTCCCCCAACATCGAGGCTCCTGGATCCCAAGGAAAGGCTGGGAGGGAGAAGAGGCGAAGGCTGCCTAGTGGCGGGAGGTGCCTTGGGCTCAGAAATGGCTCCCTCAAGACACCCCCCCAAGGAACACCCTCCAGCTCAGCGGGGGGGGGAGGGAGGGGGGCTTCCCAGCCGGGAGACCCCTCCCCCCCCCCGAAAATACGGGTTTTTCTGCTTCTGCAGCCGCTTCTCACCCCAGGAAGAGAGACGGAGGAGGAAGAGTCCCAGGCGAGGAAGGAAACGCACACGCGACCGGGGGGGGGGCAGGAGGGGGGCGCATGGTGCTCAGGGGGGCGGGCCCTCCCTCTGGGACTCTTCCCAGTTCAGAGCACGAGGGACCCCTGCCATCCTTTCCCCGTGTTTCCTGCCAGAAAACCAGTTTCTCCTGGGCTCCCAGAACTATCTGACCCCATTTCCCACTCCAGAGCAGGGCTGGACCAATCAGAGGCCTCTCCATTGGGCAGCTGGCCAATCCCCTTTCAGATTCCCCTGGGCCTCCTCCTCTCCTTCGCCCGGTTTCCTGAGGGAGTTTTCCCCCCGAGTTTCCCTCATGGCTGCTCCCCTTCCCAGCTTCTCCTTCATTTCTCCTTCCTTCTCCTCCTGTTTCTCTCCCCCCTCATTTTTTGGGGCAGCTGGATTCCCCCCCCCCCCCATGGCCAGGCAGGCCCAGGAGGAGCCCACGGAGGCGGCAGGCCCAGGAGAAGGGGTTTCCCGCCCTTTTCCGAAATAGGCGGGAAGGCCATTTTGTTTTTCCCGGAGGCCCCAGCCGCTCCCAGAGACGCCATGGCTCCCCTGTGGGCCTCGGGGGTCCCACGCTCTCGGGGTCTCTCCTCCCGGATGAAGGAGGGCGGCACCTTTGGTCCTCAGCCGCCTTCCTGCCATGATGGCTTGGCCTCCGCAGGGCAGCCTCTCTCCTCGCCATGTTGGCCCCACGGAGGAGGCCTCTCCCTTGGGAGACGCCAGGCAAGCGGCCTTGGGGGATCTGCCACGTTCTGCGAAGGAGGCCAGGAGGGAAAGGCCCTCTCTGTCTCGGAGGCCCAAGGAGGAAAATCATAATAATAATAGTAATAAGGGTTTTGTGCCCTCAGAGGTAGAGGGTTCCCTCAGGGGAGTTTGACCCCCAGAGCAGCATCCTTGGTCACCGCAAGAGTCAGCGCAAGCAGAAGGGCACCACCTGCAGGCCATGGGGAAAAGGGGGACTCTTCCCCAGACAAGACTGGAGACTCCCCTTCTGGCCCCAGGAGCCCTTTCTGGATGGCCCTCACTTGCCCCACAAATGGGCCAAGACATCTGTTCCTCCCCCTCAGGCAGCAGTTGAAGAGAGAGTCACTCCCACTCCTGATCCCTGCAGGTCTCAGGAGGCAGTGGGGGGACTAGGGAACTGGCTGAACTGGGGTCCTCCCAGTCCAGCCCAGACAAGAAAGAGAGGGAGCTGTTCTCTGCTGAGGGTCTCCTGCCTTTCTTCCAAGGCTTCCTGGGGGCTGCCATGTGAGGAGAACCTGAGCTTACAGGGTTAAACAGCTCAGAGTGTATGCCCTGCCTACTGTTGGGAGGGGGGAACTTCTGCGTCATTTCCGAGAGCCTCAAGCCTTTGTTCTCTCTCTCCTTTCGCTTTTGAGGAGAGTGGACGTGTTTTCACGATGCTGTTCGCTGTGATAGATAATGGATAGTCTGCTGTAAATAAAACTGCTTTTAGCTGCTAAGATCCTGAGTGGACTTTATTTAAGCACACTGAAGCATGCACTGGAGTTTTTGCAGCTTTCTCTTGCCGCTGTTGATCTCTGCTTTGCTCAGAGCATCGGAATGTGGACTTTGGAATGCAGAGGCCTGGCCGGCAAGAGCTGTGCAGCCAAAGCGGGCCGGACGCCAGGCTTATCTGAGCAATAAATCAATCTGCTTCAGAGGTTATGGTAGACAGTTACTGCAATTAGAGGAAGCTGCTTTGAAGCCTGAAGTGCTGTGTGCTTAAAAAGGCTGAGAAAGTTGAGAAGCTGCTGTTTTTGCTGCTGGAAGAAAAAAGTCCTGCTTTGAGGCTTTGCCTGGGAGAAAGCAGGGAGACTGGCTGCATACTGTGTGCTGCAAAGAGCCACTGGAGGCCTCTCCGTTGAAGCTGGCTGGTACGCGTGAGTACTTCAAAGCCCCAATGGGAGCACTGGGGGAGGAGATGGCTGAGCTCCAGGACTTTTATGATGTCCCGTTTGAAAAGCTCACAACCCAGTCCTGGGATATCTGGGTTAGAAGAGTAAGGGGGTGGTTTTTGGCCACAGGGCTCTGGAGTATAGCCCAGAAGGAGCCGGCCCCACCCATGCCAGTTGCTGCTGAAGATGGCGCAGCAGACCTGGAGGCTGTTTTGCTGGAAGATAGAGAGCAGAGAATGCAAAGAGAGCTCTGCATGTTGAGAGCAAGCGTGGACGCTATGCTGTTGCCCCACCTGGAGGGTGTTGAGTCGGCTCAGGCCGCCTGGCAGGTGCTGAGGAGTCTATGTGAAAGCTCAGCAGGAGCCCAGGGCCGGGAGGAAGCCGAGAGCAGGGAGGAAGCCGAGAGCCCAGAGGGGGCTGCTGGCCATGTTCCTGAAGTTACAGCTGGGAGTAGCTGCTTTGTTTCCGAGGGGCCGTGTGATGTAGAGGCCCGCGACCAGAGTGCTGGGGAGCATGCAGGCCCAGGCTGTGCACCCAAAGGTGGGGGTGCTGGGAACAAAGGAATGGCTGAAGAGGGAGCTGTGAGAGCTGTTGCTACGCGTCGCCACTGTTATCGCTGTGGCTCCCCCTCCCATCTGGTGAGAGAACGTCCTGTGGAGGCACAGGAACAGCCGAAGGCCGTCTCCCGTAGCAACCAGATAAAGGGCCCTTCTTCAAAGCGTGGGAAAGGCAAGCCAAAGGCAGCTGGCAGAGACACTGAACATAAACATTTGGCAGCCTCTATGGCTGCAGTCAAGAGTTGTCAACAGGATGCTGTGCTGGCTTTTGTCATAGACTCAGGTGCTTCCCATCACCTAGTGCCATCTGCAGGATTCCTGGAGAACTGCACCTCTGTAACTTCTGGGAAGACTGTCAGTTTAGCAGATGGGATTCGACACCCACTCATGCAGACTGGCTCACTGTTTTGTTCTTTCTTACAGGATTCAATCCAGGCTTTTGTTGTTCCAGGACTGTCCTGCGTGTTGCTGTCTGTTAGTGCACTTCTTGCTGAGAACTACAGAGTGTGTTTTGAAAACAGTAAGTGTTTTATTTCTAAGAACGGACAGCACCTAGTCAGTGTTGAATGTAAAGACAGGTTGTTTGTGATAAATGCTTCTTTTGCAGGTCCAGGTGACACGGAGGAGGCTCAAGCACAGTGTGCCAACGTTCCAGTTCATGATTCGTGTGCTCACCTCTGGCACCGACGCATGGCACACGTGTCCTGGGGGTCAGTGATGAAGATCCCAGAGTGTACGCAAGGGTGCAAAATGAAATCGTGCTAAGTTTCTCGATTGCAGAGCGTGCAAGTCTGCAAAGGTGAAAATGTGCACATACCCAAGGTCTGAGAGGGTGACCACTAGGGCTTTTCAGTTAATTCATGCAGATTTGTCTGGTCCGATGTCTGTGAGCAGTATGGGCGGAGCCAAATATGCGCTGGTTCTGATTGATGACCATACGCGGAACTCCTGGACCTTCACGCTCCGACACAAAAATGAAGCTGCGCCGCTAATCGAAGACTGGATTGCGGCTGTGGAACTGCAGTTTTCCACACGGGTGCAAAACTTTCAGAGCGATCGCGGTGGGGAGTTCACCGGGTCTGCACTGCAAAGTTTCTTCCGCAAAAAGGGGATTCAACACAGGTTGACTTCTCCACACAGTCCCCAACAGAATGGGATCACGGAACGCAGTAACAGGACGCTAGGGGAGATGTCCGCAGCTCTTTTGTTTGATGCCGGGCTCCCACAGCGCTTTTGGGGGGAGGCTTGGCGAACGGCCAACTTCATTCTGAACAGGTCGTTCAATTCAGTGGTAGGTGACACACCGTATTTCTTGCTGCACGGAAAGAAACCGAAAGTGCACTACTTCCGCGTTTTTGGCTGTGAGGCTTGGGTCCTCATACCAAAGGCCAAATGCAAGAAAGGTGAACCCAAGTCCGTATGATTTTTTGTGGGTATGAGCCAGAGACCAAGGGGTGGAGGTTTGCGTATCCGTCAGGGAATCAGTCCAGGATTCTGCTCAGCAACAGTGCTGAATTCTGTGAGCAGAGTGGCTGGGCAAGGATACATGGGAACCCTGACATCCTGTCAGAGAGTCTGCTTGACTCTGCCGATGAAGGAGAGGAAGAGGTTGAACCTGCTACTGAGGCTCAGAGTCCAGACCCAGTGCAGGCAGAGGGGAGAACTTCTCCCAAGGCTGTGAAGATCGAGCAACGCAGTGCTCCATCTTCCCCCACAGGTTCGGCTGAGAAGTCCAGAAGGCGCAGTAAGTCAGAGGGGGAGCTCTCTGATGCCAAGGACGTTCTGGCTGGCCCCAGTGGGCCAGAGGGGGTTCCTGTAGTGCTGCGTCGGTCAACTTGGACGACCAAGGGGAAACCTCCTGAAAGGTTTACCGTCACTAGCGTGTGGGTCGGAATGGCACAGTGTGAACCCGAGAGTTTTGAGGATGTTCAGAAACTGCCTCAGGAAGAAGCCAGAAAATGGCATGAGGCGATGCAGACGGAGATGAGCTCAATGGAGTCTCTAGGTGTGTTCTCCCTCACGAAGTTGCCGGTGGGTGAACAGACAGTGGGTAGCCGCTGGGTTTACCATCTTAAGCCCACAGTGACAGGAGAACCGCAGTATAAGGCCAGATTAGTGGCGAGAGGATTCACGCAGCGCAGGGGGTTGCATTATACGGAAGTTTATGCTCCCACCTCTAGGAGTGAATCTCTACGCTTGGTCTTGGCCGTAGCTGCACAAAGAGGTTTGCTGGTGCATCATTTTGATGTGGATGTTGCTTACTTGAACTCAGACCTCCAGGAGGATTTGTACATGCTTCCTCCTTCAGGGTTTGAGGGCAATGAGCAAGGTACTGTGTGGAAACTTCACAAGTCAATTTACGGCCTGAAGCAATCGGCCAGGAATTGGAACTTGTGCCTGAATGAAGCTTTGGAGAAGCTAGGTTTCAGGAAGAGTCTTGCTGACAGTTGCCTGTTCCTTAGAGGATCAGGAGACTCACAGGAACTGGTGTTATTTTACGTTGATGACATCATCCATGTTGGAAAGGCAGACAAACAGGTGCAGAAGTTTGCCAAAGAGCTTGGGAAACGGTTTCAGCTCAAGGACCTGGGTGCAGTAAAGATCTACCTAGGCGTCCAGATAGCGAGAACTGAGGATGGTAGCTTCTTGCTCAGTCAGAAAGGCAAGATTGAGCAGTTGCTTGAGAAGTTCAGAATGTCCGATTGTGCAGGAGTTCGGACACCCATGGAGACGAACTTCGTGAAAGATAGCCAGCAAGCAGAAAGTGCTGAGTTTGAGAATGCTGAGCTCTTTCAGTCAAGTCTAGGTAGTCTGTTGTATCTGTCCCAATGGAGCAGACCAGACATTGCCTTTGCTACCAACCTGCTAAGTAGGGAAGCGTCAAAGCCCAGTGTGAGTGCTTGGCACGGTATCAAGCGGGTACTGCGCTACCTGCAGCATACCAAAGACTTCTGTCTTAAGCTGCCAGCTGAAGGTGAGGCGAAGCTCACATGCTATGCGGACAGTGACTGGGCAAATTCGCAGGACCGCAAGTCTGTGTCTGGGTTGGTGGTAAAATTTGGGAAGTCACTAGTTGGGTGGAAGTCCCGGAAGCAAAGTCTCATTGCGCTGTCTACTACTGAGGCTGAATTCAGTGCACTGTCAGATTTGTGCCGGGAACTAGAGTTCTATAGATGCTTGGTGCAAGAGATCTATGGGGATTGTAGCTTGCCCATCACGGTTTGGGAGGACAATCAACCTTGTTTGAAATTGGCTGAATCTGCGCAATTTAAGGCCAGAACCAAGCATCTGGACATACGTTTCCAAAATGTGTGTCAGAGTGTTCAGTCAGGTTTAATACGACTGAAGTACTGTGCCAGTCACAGTAACCTGGCCGATGGATTTACCAAACCTTTAAGCTTCCAGCGTCATGGGGAGTTTTGTGGTGGTTTGGAGTTGGGGGTAAGTTCTGTACTTACTTTCCCCACAGTAGCGCAGAGCGAGAGGGGGTGTGAGGAGAACCTGAGCCTACAGGGTTAAACAGCTCAGAGTGTACGCCCTGCCTACTGTTGGGAGGGGGGAACTTCTGCATCATTTCCGAGAGCCTCAAGCCTTTGTTCTCTCTCTACTTTCGCTTTTGAGGAGAGTGGACGTGTTTTCACGATGCTGTTCGCTGTGATAGATAATGGATAGTCTGCTGTAAGTAAAACTGCTTTTAGCTGCTAAGATCCTGAGTGGACTTTATTTAAGCACACTGAAGCATGCACTGGAGTTTTTGCAGCTTTCTCTTGCCGCTGTTGATCTCTGCTTTGCTCAGAGCATCGGAATGTGGACTTTGGAATGCAGAGGCCTGGCCGGCAAGAGCTGTGCAGCCGAAGCGGGCCGGACGCCAGGCTTATCTGAGCAATAAATCAATCTGCTTCAGATGCCATGGCCAGAGGAGGAGAGAGGCCCCCCACCCTGAATCCCCTGCAGGGCCCTGGGGGGCAGGCAGATCTCTTGCTCTTGCCATGGCAAAGCATGTCTCAGTTTCCTTCCCCAAGGCTTTGGATGAACCTTGGGGTGCAGAAGGAGGAACCCCAAATGGAGCTCAGGCTCCTGGCAAGTGGGGAAAGGAACATGAAATGGCGCTTTCCAGATGAGTCTCAATACAATACGATAATCTTTATTGTCATTGTCCCATACAGAATGAAATTGAAAAAATGTACATCAGACATTCAAAAACCAACAAGCCTGCTATCCCAACCTGGTTAGCCCCCCTAAAAACTCTGATACCCCATAATTAAATACCATATACTCCCATAGAGACTCCCTTACACTGCATTTAAAACCAAAATCGCATTTGGATAGAAACTGTTTCTCAGGCGGCTAGTCCTAGTCTTTATAACCCTGTACCTTCTTCCAGAAGGCAGAAGATGAAAGAGATCATTTCCGGGGTGCGCGCTATCCTGCACTATCTCTGCAGCTTTCTTATGTAGCACCTTCTGCAAATGCCTCCAGGGCCATGAGTAGTATGCATGAAAACATCAATGCTAAATTGAGCAGATACCCAGAGGCGGCGCGGATTATTGCAGGGGACTTCACTCACACAGATGTGAGGGAAGCACTCCCAAAATCCCATCAGCACACTGAGTGTGCAATAAGGGGAGAAAATACTCTTGATAAGGTGTATACGAACATTAGACGGGCATATGAGGCGCACCTCGGTGGTTCAGATCATGTGTCCCTGCTTCTGACACCAGTGTACACGCCCCTCAGGAAACAAGGCCAGCTACAAACATGGATGGTTATGGTGTGGCCTGAGGGAGCTTCTCAGCAGTTGCAGGACTGTTTCCAGGAGACCGATTGGAATATGTTCGACCATCAGGATCTAGAAGAAGGAGCAAAAAGGGTTTTCTTTTGTGTGTGTGTGTGTGTGTGTGTTTCTTTGTGGCTGATTAGCTGCTCTCCCTGTGCAAAGGTCAGAGGGGGCAGGGTTTCTGTTGAGTCAGGTGATTAGCTGTGGGAGGAGCTTATCAGAGCTTGCAGGGCAGTGGCGCGCGCCTGGCGGCGTGCGCAGTTTGATCCATCTTTTAGATTTAGGGGAGCTAGTCTCAAACGTTTGTTGGGGGAGACCTAGGTTTTTTTTGTGGGGCAAGTTATTTGTCCTGTCTTCACGCTTTTTATGATGGAGGACCGCTGTAGCCACCCCCAACGACACGTTCTCAAGATGGAGGGGGAGGGAACAGCTGCAGTCGCCTGCCGTTCCTGCGCAATGTTTGCCATCTTGCCAAAGGTTGCAGGCAGCTTTACCTGCAGCAATTGCATGTTGATTGCCCTCTTAAAAGACAAAGTCCAGCAACTGGAGGAACGTGTAGCTACGCTCCAAAGAATTAGAGAGCTGGAGCTCTTCTTGGAAGCAACAGAGCACACCATCTCCACCAAGGAGGAGACAGGGGACTCCCCTGAGAAGGAGGCTAGTTCACCAACACAGGAGCCAGATATATGGAGAAACGTGACTCAAAGAAGTAGGAGGCCCAGGGTTCGCTCTGATTGTTTAGAAATACACAATCGCTTTGAGGTCCTCTCCCCTAGCATGGAAGACGAAGAGCAAACTCCATTTGAGGGTCTGTCCCTCATTACAGTCGATCAGGTATATGAAGACGAGCAGCAAAGTCAGTCCTCAGGGATTGTGCAGGCGACCTTGGAACGGACAGCTCACGGAAGAACCCCGACCAAACCTAAGAGGAGGCGTGTAGTGGTGATAGGGGATTCCCTACTGAGGGGAACAGAAGCAGTGATTTGTGGGCCTGACAAGATGTCTCGGGAAGTGTGCTGCCTCCCCGGGGCTAAGATCCAAGATGTAACTGAACGACTGCAAGGAATCATAAAACCCACTGACAAATACCCCTTCCTCTTGGTTCATGTGGGAACCAATGACACTGCAAGCAATAGCCTCCAGAAGATCAAAAGAGACTACGAGGCTCTGGGCAGGAAATTGAAGCAATTAAATGCACAAATTGTCATCTCTTTTTTTTTTAAATGATATTTATTAAAATTTCAGAAACAAAAAAATTACAGTTAAAAATAAAAAAGACAAGGAAAAATATAGAAAAAAAAGAAAAAAACATACAAAATACAAAGTATGGGGGGGGGATAGAAAACACACTTAAAAACAAATTAGTCCTTCCGTATCTTACATTTCATTTCCTTGCTTTCCTGACCTCCTCTCACCTCCCTTTTTTGTATTCCAGTTCAATTGGTTAATTCAGCAATTCCTTTCCCTCTTTGTTTTTGTCTTAGTCCTTTAACTTAATATATTATAGCTTTAGATTCTCACCTATTAACAATCCATTTTTACATACACCTTTATGACATTGCTACTAAAACCACTTAACTTCATTCTAACATCATTCTAACATTCATTAATTTTACAATATTTCTGTAAGTAATCTTTAAATTTCTTCCAATCTTCTTCCACTGACTCTTCTCCCTGGTCTCGGATTCTGCCAGTCATTTCCGCCAATTCCATGTAGTCCATCACCTTCATCTGCCATTCTTCCAGAGTGGGTAGATCTTGTGTCTTCCAATACTTTGCAATAAGTATTCTTGCTGCTGTTGTAGCATACATAAAGAAAGTTCTGTCCTTCTTTGGCACCAATTGGCCGACCACGCCCAGGAGAAAGGCCTCTGGTTTCTTCAGGAAGGTATATTTAAATACCCTTTTCATTTCATTATAAATCATCTCCCAGAAAGCCTTAATCCTTGGGCACGTCCACCAAAGGTGAAAGAATGTACCTTCAGTTTCTTTACATTTCCAACATTTATTGTCGGGCAAATGATAGATTTTAGCAAGCTTGACTGGTGTCATGTACCACCTGTATATCATTTTCATAATATTCTCTCTTAAGGCATTACATGCCGTGAACTTCATACCTGTGGTGCATAACTGTTCCCAGTCAGCGAACATAATGTTGTGTCCAACATCTTGTGCCCATTTAATCATAGCAGATTTCACCGTTTCATCCTGTGTATTCCATTTCAACAGCAAGTTATACATCCTTGACGAAGTCTTAGTTTTGGGTTCTAACAGTTCTGTTTCTAATTTTGATTTTTCCACCTGGAAGCCAATTTTCTTGTCCAAATTGTATGCCTCCATTATCTGATAATAATGAAGCCAGTCTCGCACTTTGTTTTTTAATTTCTCAAAACTCTGCAATTTCAGTCTATCTCCCTCTTGTTCCAAAATTTCCCAATATTTCGGCCATTTGACCTCCATATTGAGCTTTTTCTGAGCCTTTGCTTCCATCGGTGACAGCCACCTTGGGGTTTTATTTTCCAGTAGGTCCTTATATCTTATCCAGACGTTGAACAATGCTTTCCTGAAAATATGGTTTTTAAATGCTTTATGTGCTTTGACCTTATCATACCACAAGTATGCATGCCATCCAAATACATTATTAAAACCTTCTAGATCCAAAATGTCTGCGTTTTCAAGAAGCAGCCATTCTTTCAACCAGCAAAAAGCTGCTGATTCATAATAAAGTTTAAGGTCTGGCAGGGCAAATCCACCTCTTTCCTTTGCATCTGTTAATATTTTAAATTTTATTCTAGGCTTCTTGCCCTGCCAGATAAATCTAGAGATATCTCTCTGCCACTTCTTGAAACAGTCCATTTTGTCCAAAATTTGCAATGTTTGAAACAGAAACAACATTCTAGGCAATACATTCATTTTTACCGCAGCAATACGGCCCAGCAGTGAAAGCTTCAAATTTGACCAAATTTCTAAATCTTTTTTCACTTCAGCCCAACATTTTTCATAGTTATCTTTAAATAAATTCCCATTTTTTGCTGTCAAGTTGATCCCCAAGTATTTAACTTTCTTAACCACTGTTAAACCTGTCTCATTCTGAAACCTCTCTCTCTCTATTGGTGTTAAATTTTTCTCTAAGACCTTTGTTTTTAACTTATTCAGTTTAAATCCTGCAACCTGACCAAATTCGTGAATCACTTCCAAAACCCTTTTAGTACTAGATTCTGGCTCCTGTAACGTCAATACTAAGTCATCTGCAAATGCTCTCAACTTGTACTGTTTAGCTCCGACTTGTATACCTTTAACCAACTGGTCCCTTCTAATCATATTCAGCAGAACCTCCAGGACCGATATAAAAAGCAATGGGGAGATTGGGCAACCTTGTCGTGTCCCTTTTTCTATCTTAAATTCTTCCGTCACCACATTATTTACAATTAATTTAGCCTTTTGTTCTGAATAAATTGCACTTATACCGTTTTCAAAACCTTGGCCTACCCCCATCTCCTGTAGGTTCTTCTTCATAAAACTCCAAGAAATGTTGTCAAAGCTTTCTCCGCGTCCACAAATATCAAAACTGCCTTAGTATTTATGTTCACTTGTAATTTTTCTAAAATATTGATTATGTTTCTCACATTATCAGATAGATGTCTACCCGGGAGAAAGCCTGCTTGGTCTTTATGTATCTCTTCCACTAGCACTCTTTTTAGTCTTTTAGCCAAAATGTCTGCAAAGATTTTGTAATCCACATTGAGCAGTGATATGGGGCGGTAGTTCTTAAGCTGGGTGTTTTCAGTCTCTGTTTTCGGTACAAGTGTAATATACGCTTCTTTCCATGACTCTGGTGCCCTTTTTCCACCCATTATTTCGTTACAGACTTCTTTTAAAGGTTGTACTAGCCATTCTTTTAAAGATCTGTAGTATCTAGAAGTCAGTCCATCCGGTCCTGGAGATTTACCTAGTTGCATATTCTGAATGGCACCTTCTACCTCCTGTTCAGTTATTTTATAGTTCAACATTAATTTATTTTCTTGAGAGATTTTTTGTAATCCATTTGTTTTCAAAAATTGGTCTAGTGCCTGAGCCAAAACACTCTTCGGATGCCATTCCTTTGGGTTTAGATTGTACCAATGCAGCTCCTGTTGGAGGGCCAGATGTTGATGCTCTTCGCTGCAGCCCAGCGTCTGTGCGAAACACTCTACCAGACCTCGTTGCTTTTTCCTGAAGCAAATCTATTTTCTCTTTTCCATTTCCCATAACAGTCTAGATAATACTCAAGGTCAGTCCCACGATCAGAGTTTGTTATGAAGTGGAAAATTCCCCTGGCCCAGTTGTTATTGTAACAATCTCAAACTTCCTCTAGGGGGACACAGTAACAGGCAACAGTTGTTACCTTAAAATAAATATCCTTTTTCTTTTAATCCCCCAGCTCACAAAATAGACGACAGTTTTAATTTCAATTATTTTCCAGTTACTTTGAAACCAGGGAAAGCCAGCCAGAGATATTGTATCTCACTTGTATCAGACTTGCAGAGTTAGCTGTCAAAAAGTACTTTCACCAACAGCGCATATCACAGTACGGCATTCTATTTTTCATTGGCAGTCCGTTCCCAGGTTTAAGCGGTGGATTCTTAGCTTCCTTTTCTCTCTTTTTACAGGAAAATACAGTTCAAACCTTTCCCCCCTCCTCTCCTGCAGTCAAGGGGGGAAATCGCTTGTTTTAGATGATAGAATTATAGTCTTCTTCAAGCGTCTTTCAAGGTTTTAGCTTACAAGTTGATTGCTTTCCTCTATTTACAAAGAACGGAAGGCAGACTTCCTGTTTATGCCTCTCCGCTTCGGTATCCAATTACTTCTTTTTTTTCTCCTTTATTTCCCAAATTAACCTACTCACGGGTCGTTGTTTTGTAGCCAAATTGTCACAGGAAAAAGGTAGCGCTCTCCGGTAACGGCTGTGCGGCTTCGCTCCACGGAAGAAGCAGTTGATTCACAGCACCGCGCCGCTTCCCCGCTTCACTCCGGAGCCCGTAGTCGGGCTCCTTTGCAAGTTGGGGGGGCGCAAAAGGTGCCCGCCGAGTCCCATGGTCACAGGCTTCACCCGCCTGTGATTTTTGAAGGGTCCCCGCTTCGCCGTAGTGGTGCAGACCCGATTCCCGCAGAGCCGGCCCCCTCCGAATCAGAGGGAATCCGCCATTACCGATGGCGCCACCCCGGAAGTCCACAAATTGTCATCTCATCTGTCCTCCCAGTTGAACGACGTGGCCCAGGGAGGGAGGGAAAAATAGTGGAAGTGAACAGCTGGTTTCGCAAATGGTGTAAACAGGAACGGTTTGGATTCTTAGATCACGGACTGCAGTTTCTTGAAGATGGACTACTGGCAAGCGATGGGCTGCACCTCACAACGGCTGGGAGAAATGTTTTGCCAAAAATCTCAGAAACCTCATCAGGAGGGCTTTAAACTGACTAATGTGGGGGAGGGAGACAGTGCTCCTGAAGGTAGGAGTCTATCAATTGATGAAGATGATCATCCAAATGTCATAGACCAAATGGAGCAAACAGCACGCAGACCTAGTGGTGGGAGGAAAAAATCCTTAAATAAGAGTCACGGGGATATGATTAATGGACTTCAATGTCTGTACACTAATGCGCAAAGCATGGGAAATAAACAAGATGAGCTTGAGCTCTTGGTACAGCAAACTAAATATGACATAATAGGCATCACTGAAACCTGGTGGGATAAGTCCCACGATTGGAATGTAATAATGGGGGGATACAATCTATTTCAGAGAAACAGACCAGACAAGAAAGGAGGAGGAGTGGCGTTATATGTCAGGGATGTGTATACCTGTGAAGAGATCCAAGATTTAGAACCTCAAAGCCAGAGTGAGAACATTTGGGTCAAAATCAAGGGAGAGAAGAATAACAGTGACCTCATTGTGGGAGTTTACTATAGATCCCCAAGCCAAACGGAGGACATAGATGATGCCTTCCTGGAACAGATGGCCAAGCATGCAAAAGGAAGGGAGATAGTAGTAATGGGGACTTCAATTACCCGGATATTTGTTGGATGTCAAACTCAGCCAAGAGCATAAGGTCAAACAGATTCCTCACTGGCCTTGCAGACAACTTCATTGTCCAGAAAGTGGGAGAAGCAACAAGAGGAACAGCCATTTTAGATCTGGTCCTAACCAATGTTGATGACCTGGTTAGTGGGGTAGAAGTGGAAGGATCATTAGGCGTGAGTGATCATGCTCTTCTGAAGTTTACTATACAGCGGAAAGGAGCAGCCAAGCATACTTGGACTCAATTTCTTGACTTTAAGAAAGCCGACTTCATAAAACTTAGGGAAGTGCTGGGTGAGATCCCATGGACAGTAATACTAAAAGGAAAGGGAGTTCATGATGGCTGGGAGTTTGTTAAGAGGGACATAGTAAAAGCACAACGTCAGGCAATACCAATGAGACGGAAACATGGAAGGTGCCTAAAGAAGCCAGGGTGGCTATCTAAAGAACTTTTAACTGAGTTAAGATTTAAAAAGGATGTGTACAAAAATGGAAAAGGGGAAACCACCAAAGAGGAATTCAAACAAATAGCCAGCACGTGTAGACACAAAGTCAGAAAAGCTAAAGCACAGAATGAACTCAGGCTGGCTAGAGAGGTTAAAAGCAACAAAAAGGCTTTTATGGGTATGTTCAGTAGCAAAAGGAAGAACAAAGAAACAGTGGGGTCACTCAGAGGAGAAGATGGTGAAATGCAAACAGGGGACACAGAAAGGGCTGAACTCCTCAATGCCTTCTTTGCCTCAGTCTTCTCCGATAAAGAAAACAATGCCCGACCTGAAGAATTTGGAGCAAATGATTCAGCAAAGGAAACACAGCCCAGAATAACTAAGGAGATAGTACAAGAATACTTGGCTAGTTTAGATGTATTCAAGTCTCCAGGGCCAGATGAACTGCATCCAAGAGTATTAAAAGAACTGGCAGATGTGATCTCAGAACCACTGGCAGTCATCTTTGAGAATTCCTGGAGAACAGGCGAAGTCCCGGCAGACTGGAGGAGGCCAAATGTTGTCCCTATTTTCAAAAAGGGGAAAAGAGAGGACCCAAATAATTACCGCCCAGTCAGTCTGACATCAATACCAGGGAAGATTCTGGAGCAGATCATTAAGCAAACAGTCTGTGAGCACCTAGAAAGGAATGCTGTGATCACCAATAGTCAGCATGGATTTCTGAAAAATAATTCATGTCAAACTAACCTGATCTCGTTTTTTGACAGAATTACAAGCCTGGTAGATGAAGGGAACGCAGTGGATGTAGCCTACCTTGATTTCAGCAAGGCATTTGACAAGGTGCCCCATGATATTCTTGTAAAGAAGCTGGTAAAATGCGGTCTTGACTATGCTACCACTCAGTGGATTTGTAACTGGCTGACTGACCGAACCCAAAGAGTGCTCATCAGTGGTTCCTCTTCATCCTGGAGAAGAGTGACTAGTGGGGTGCCACAGGGTTCTGTCTTGGGCCCGGTCTTATTCAACATCTTTATCAACAACTTGGATGATGGACTCAAGGGCATCCTGATCAAATTTGCAGATGACACCAAACTGGGAGGGTGGCTAACACCCCAGAGGACAGGATCACACTTCAAAACGACCTTGACAGATTAGAGAACTGGGCCAAAACAAACAAGATGAACTTTAACAGGGAGAAATGTAAAGTATTGCACTTGGGCAAAAAAATGAGAGGCACAAATACAAGATGGGGGACACCTGGCTTGAGAGCAGTACATGTGGAAAGGATCTAGGAGTCTTGGTTGACCACAAACTTGACATGAGCCAACAGTGTGACGCGGCAGCTAAAAAAGCCAATGCAATTCTGGGCTTCCTCAATAGGAGTATAGCATCTAGATCAAGGGAAGTAATAGTGCCACTGAATTCTGCTCTGGTCAGACCTCACCTGGAGTACTGTGTCCAGTTCTGGGCACCACAGTTCAGGAAGGACACTGACAAACTGGAACGTGTCCAGAGGAGGGCAACCAAAATGGTCAAAGGCCTGGAAACGATGCCTTATGAGGAACGGCTAAGGGAGCTGGGCATGTTTAGCCTGGAGAAGAGGAGGTTAAGGGGTGATATGATAGCCATGTTCAAATATATCAAAGGATGTCACATAGAGGAGGGAAAAAGGTTGTTTTCTGCTGCTCCAGAGAAGCGGACACGGAGCAATGGATCCAAACTACAAGAAAGAAGATTCCACCTAAACATTAGGAAGAACTTCCTGACAGTAAGAGCTGTTCGACCGTGGAATTTGCTGCCAAGGAGTGTGGTGGAGTCTCCTTCTTTGGAGGTCTTTAAGCAGAGGCTTGACAACCATATGTCAGGAGTGCTCTGATGGTGTTTCCTGCTTGGCAGGGGGTTGGACTCGGCCCTTGTGGTCTCTTCCAACTCTATGATTCTATGATTCTATACCCCTGCCAAAAAACCCAAAGATAGTCTGAATGATTTTTGCCCTGTGGCATTGACACCCATTATAATGAAATGTTTTGAAAAAGCAAAGAGATCCACGGAGGATGCTGTGGAAATGGCATTACATGCTGTCCTGACTCATTTGGAGAAGAAAGGGAACTATGCGAGATTCTTATTTGTAGACTTTAGTTCTGCATTTAATACTATTCCCACGTCTCTGCGGATCTCATGAACTCCGGAAACGGTGAACAACACAAGGTATGATCTCGTTTGAGGAAAGGGAATTAAGATGCTTGTTTCCCCATCCCCAGTGGATTAAAATGTCCAAAGATTAGGAAAAGAAGAAAGAAGAGGAAGCAGGATTGGATGAACATTATAAGAGACCATAATTTTGGATTGTGACTTGGCTGAGATTTGTTGGAACAGTTTTTCAAAGGCTTTATAGAAACTGGACCTAGAAGCTGGAGAAATACTAATTTGGATTATTAGACGATCATTATAAGAGTCATATTGCACTGTCTGAGTTGGTTAAGATTTGAAAGCTGGGCTAGGGAGGGAGACGAAGGGAATGTGTCATCTTGGTGAAGAGGAGAAGAAGAGGAGTTTGGATTTGATATCCCGCTTTATCACTACCCGAAGGAGTCTCCAAGCGGCCAACATTCTCCTTTCCCTTCCTCCCCCACAACAAACACTCTGTGAGGTGAGTGGGGCTGAGAGACTTCAGAGAAGTGTGACAGGCCCAAGGTCACCCAGCAGCTGCATGTGGAGGAACAGAGACGAGCACCCGGTTCCCCAGATTACGAATCTACCGCTCTTAACCACTACACCACTGTATGCTAAATACAGCTGGGTTTATTCTGGAGTGCAAATTATGAATAATTGTTGCTACAGATGATTTGCAGATGGAGATGGGAGTTTTCTTTTCGGTGCCTGCCCTGTGGAACACCCTCCCAGCACATGTCAAAGGAAAAAACAACTACCAGACTTTAAGAAGACATCTGAAGGCAGCCCTGTTTAGGGAAGCTTTTAATATTTGATGCATTACTGTATTTTAATATTTTGTTGGAAGCTGCCCAGAGTGACTGGGGAAACCCAGCCAGATGGGAAGGGTATCAATAAATCATCATCATCATCTATTTTTTGTATTTTATATTAAGATTCCTTTATTTTGAATTTAGGAGGACACACATAGGAAGAGGAGAGTTGGAGGTGCGAGGGACCTGCAAGGAACGCAGGGAAGGATCTCTCAGGGTGGGATACGGGAAGAAGAGGGGTCACGCAGGGAGAAGTGGGGAGCCTGTCTTTCAATGGGTTGACGAATGATATCATATATATGATACAAATGTCATAAACAGTATTTTTCGTTTATATCCGCCCCATTCTCTTTTCTATACAATTGTATTTTGTAAGGATTGTTTAATATTTTTTGTTTTATTTCTCTTTTTTGGTTTCCCCTCTGTATGAATTCTTTGATGGCAAGTGAGATGGGAGCTCTGACTGAAGCTCTTCCCGCATTCGAAGCACTGATAGGGTTTCTCTCCTGTATGAGTTCTTTGATGGGAAGTGAGATTCTGCCTGAGACTGAAGCTCTTTCCACATTCCAGACAATGATAGGGTTTGTCCCCGGTATGAATTCTGTGATGGGAAGTGAGACTATCCTTCCGATTGAAGCTCTTTCCACATTCCATGCACTGATAGGGTTTCTCCCCTGTATGAGTTCTTTGATGGGAAGTGAGATTCACCTTCTGACGAAAGCTCTTTCCACATTCAAAGCACTGATAGGGTTTCTCCCCTTTATGAGTTCTTTGATGCAAAGTGAGCTTTGTCCCCTCCCTGAAGCTCTTCCCACATTCGAAGCACTGATAGGGTTTCTCTCCTGTATGAATTCTGTGATGGGAAGTGAGATCACCACTCTGACGAAAGCTCTTTCCACATTCCAGACAATGATAGGGTTTGTCCCCGGTATGAATTCTTTGATGGGAAGTGAGATGGGTGCTTTGACTGAAGCTCTTTCCACATTCCAAGCACTGATAGGGTTTTTCTCCTGTATGAATTCTGCGATGGGAAGTGAGACTGGAGCTATCAGTGAAGCTCTTTCCACATTCCAAGCACTGATAGGGTTTCTCCCCTGTATGAATTCTTTGATGGGAAGTGAGATTCACCTTCCGACTGAAGCTCTTTCCACATTCCAAACACTGATAGGGTTTCTCCCCTGTATGAGTTCTTTGATGCAAAGTGAGCTTGGCCCCCTCCCTGAAGCTCTTCCCGCATTCGAAGCACTGATAGGGTTTTTCTCCTGTATGAGTTCTTTGATGGGAAGTGAGATTCTGCCTGAGACTGAAGCTCTTTCCACATTCCAGACAATGATAGGGTTTCTCCCCGGTATGAATTCTTTGATGGGAAATGAGATGTGCGCTTTGATTAAAGCTCTTCCCACATTCCATGCACTGATAGGGTTTCTCCCCTGTATGAATTCTGCAATGGGAAGTGAGATTGTGCCTGTGACTGAAGCTCTTTCCGCATTCCAAGCACAGATAGCGTTTTTCTCCTGTATGCGTTCTTTGATGGGAAGTGAGATTGTGCCTGAGACTGAAGCTCTTCCCACATTCCAAGCACTGATAGGGTTTCTCCCTGCTCTGTCCTCTTTTGTGTGCAGTGAGGCTATCCCTCTGAACGAAGCTCTTTCTTTGACGGGAGGTGGAATGGGAGCTCTGACCAATGTTCTCTCCACACTCTGAATGTTTATTTGACTTCTCCGCTATGTGGATTCTGTTGTGCTCCCCCTTGTTCTTCCCTTCCAGTTCATCTCCATCTGCAATGAAGAGAGAAGCGAATTAGAGCCTCAGAAAAAATGGAGCTCCAGATCATTGAACCAAGTTAATTAATGCTTGTGATAGAGGAAGAACTAAAAATAGTTAGATGTGGGGCCTCTCTATAGTTTTCACTGCCTTTGTTGGCCGGTATTTACTGACATATTGCTTGGCTTTTATCTGGAATGGATTTTGTTCTTGCTCAATCCTGGAATCCACTCCATCTCCAAGGTCAGTCATCTCTGGTCAATCAAATGCAAACAGAAGCAAAAACAACACGCCTGACAGAATTTACATCAACTTCCCTAAAAACTCTGAAGCCGGCATTTAAGAAGGCCTGGGTGGTTCAGAGAAGCCTGGTCACTGTTTTAAAAGGCATGACTAGACGCAGAACATTCACAGAGGAAACAGTTGATATCCCTCCATTCTGGGTTCACGGTGGGGGATATTAGAATCCCAGATGCTGTTGGTCTCCAGCCAAAGAGTTGAAGTTCATCACATACAGGTATGTATGGAACATCCACGTCTCGTCTGTGAAACAAACAGCAACACCTTCACCTGAACACTCCCCATCAGCTGCTGCCTCAATCTAGTCGGTCTAAATTTAAATTTATACGTAAATCGCTTTCTTCACTTTGAACTCCCCTCCCATGTCCATGAAGAGACTGTATTTTTCATTAGCAACAGAAGAGGAAAAGTGACTATAACTCAGTTCAAACCAATTCATGAACCCAGAACTCATACACCGACCACTAATGATGAACCATATGTTACTAGATATTCCTGCAAATTTATTCTGCTATTTTTGATATGCAAATGGCATGCGAAGACTTAGTCTTCATATTTGTATCATTTATTAGTCCTATGATCCTTGTTTTTAAAAGCAAATAAGAAGTTATTCCAAAAAGAAAAAGACAGCACACAGAGGCCCCATCTGCATTCAAACTGCAAAGCAGGATCAGTGAGTTTTCTGACACTGGCAGGGCATTCAGATCACAGAACTGGTTTTAGACATTTAGAGCTGCCAATTCATCGTGTCGGGCAGGGAGCTGTGATCTATTCCTGGCTCAAATTGCCTGCAGATGACAAAGGCGCAGGCAGGCAGGCAGGCAGGCAGGCAGGTGGGGGAGCCCAAAAAGGTCTCCCCTTCTCCATTTCCATCCGCCTGCCTCCCCCCCCACCCCAATTCCTCTCTGGCTCCATCCATCCAGGTACCCATCTCCCCTCCCCTGGGACTCACCAGATCTCTCGGAGGTCCTTGGGAGGGAACGCTCAGAGGTTGAGAGGAGGGACGCAGGAGACAACCTGACCAGGTCATCCGTCCATCTTCCCCCTTCCATTCTCACTAGGTTTGCAGAATCCGTCCCTTTTATCTTTCCTGAGGAGACAAGGAGCCAGAACGAGCTGGAGGGTCCTGGGAGAGAGGAAGAAGGAAAGGCAGCCTCAGAGGCCCTGCAGTGATTCTCCTGCCCCTGGAGAAGCACAAATGGGGCAGCCCCTTCCCAACAGAAGCCCCATTTCTATACCTCTCCAGTGGTTCCAAAAAATCAGGTAGGCTACTTGCATGGCAATTAAAGAAAAAATAAGAAGAGAGAATAATAGAGAAATGAAAAATAATAGAAGATCCTAAAGAAATATGCAAAGAAAAATTAAATTACTATAGAAAGTTTTACCGTGCAAAAGAAGAAGACCAAGAGGAAATGGAAAGATATGTAGCACAAAATGTACTCCCGCCAATAGCAGATTGGAAAATAGAACAACTAAATGTACCAACAGCGATGATGGAGGTGCAGCAATCTCAAAAGCAAAGATAGGAAAGTCTCCAGGTACGGATGGATTACTGGCGGCATTTTATAAGAAGTTAGAAGATATATTATCAGAACCAATGAAACAGTACTGGACCAAATTTTAAAGGAAGGAAGAATACCAAAATCATGGGAAGAAGCATTTATCACACTGATACCCAAACAAGGAGCAGATCCAACACTCATCAAAAATTATAGACCTATATCATTGTTCAATAATGATTATAAAATATATTGAATGAAATAATACACAGAGATCAGGCTGGCTTCTTACCAGGCAGACACATGCACAATAAAATGAGAAACATAATTGATATTTTAGAATCAGATAAAAAAGCCATTTTGTTGCTGATAGACATGGAGAAGGTCTTCGACAACATCTCTTGGAGCTTCATTGTCAGGGAACTGCCATCAGTGCTGGAGGGAGAGAGCAAAAGCCAGAGGGATTCCAGAGAGCGTCCAGGGATCAGGAGAAGCAGCCCATCTTCTGGGGAAGAGAATCAGCGTAGCACTAGTGGAGAAGGGGGGCAGATGGGGGAAGCGGCGAGGCGGTCCCATGACTCCTTGCCTGGGACTAGCGGGGAGAGTAGGGGTCCTCCGTTGCCCACGCCCTCCTTGCGCAGAAGGCTTCCGCGCAGAGAGAGTAGGAGGAGACTAGGCGTCAAAGAGCTTCTTTGCTGGAAGAAGTTTAAGAAACGCCCACTGACGGATTCTGCCAGCGATTGAGTCAGCCACGGGTAAGTGGCTGTCCGGACAGAAAAGGTTCACTTAGGCAACCCAGCCAGGTGTTTGCACCCAGCCGGGGAGATAAGCACCGGCTTACGCACGAGCAACCCCTAGAACCATGACAGCAATCCGTCAGTCCCTGACATTGCTTGTGCGCAGCCCCGGAGAGGCCGCACAATGAGCCAAACAGGGCCGGCTGGAGAGACAGAGCAAGAAGCCATGGTGCGAGGTCTGGTCGAGAGGAACCAAGAGCTGGAGGCACATGTCGCTACCCTGTCAACGCGGCTGGAGGAGAGGCGGGCTCAGGATGCACAGGTCAGAGCCACCCCGATAGGGAGGAAGGTCCCAAGACTACAGTTCTTTCCGAACGGAAATTCAATACGCTTTGGAATTGCAGAAAAATGACTTTGCTGATGACGGGGAGAGGGTGGCTTACATTGTTGGACATCTGCAGGATGGGGCGCGCGAATGGATCAGGCCCTTAATGGCAACGGGGAACGATGCATTGAAAGATCTTAAGAAATTCTACCAGGCAATGGACGCGATGTTCTCCAGCGAGGTTGAGCAAAGCGTGACACGGAGGGAGCTGATGGGGTGCAAGCAGGGGAGCCTGTCCGTCAGAAACTACTGGTCACGTTTTGCGATGTTAGTCCACAAGCTCGGGTGGGATCTGGACTCTGAACCAGTACAAATGCTGTTTGAAGCGGGCTTGGACCCCGAAGTGAAAGACGAGTTGTCCAGAGCGCCCCGCCCGCGGTCGATGGATGAACTCACAAAGACTGTGCTTGCGATCGGTGTACGCCAGGAAGCGTGGGCTCAGGAGAAGCGGGAGATAAGGGCGGAACGTTTCCATGGCAACCGCATTCCTGAGATGCCGAGGGAGCCTTCCCAGGCGGTGTAGCCGATGGAAATTGATGGGGCGTGCGAAGTTTCAAACGCTAGTGAAGGCCGGAAAAGGGAGGGGAAGGAGTGGAAAACTACCAAGAAGTGTTTCCTCTGTCAGCGGCCAGGACATTTTGCAAAGGTCTGTCCTCAACGAAAGGCCTGGCAAGGCATGATGGGGGCTGCAGGCCACGACGAGAAGGGGGAGGAAGGGCCGGTGCAGGGAAACGAGAAAGCCCGGCTGCCAACCAGCAGGGGCAGCAGCCAGGCCAGCGACCAATAGAAGTGCCCTGGCCTGACCCTCCCAAGGCAGCTATAGCCATAGAAGTGGTGCTAGAACTCCCAAATGGGCACCCAGTCAAAGTGGAGGGGCTGCTGCATTCTGGCAGCTTGTGTAATTTCTTCAGCAGAGACTTCGCTCTGGTGTACCAGCTCCACCTGTTGCCACTAGATTTTCCCTTGCAGGTGACCACCATCGATGGCAGGGAACTACTGGGAGGGGAAGTGACACACCAGACACCGCCAATGCCAATGCGGATAAGTGTTTCCAGGCACACGAAAACCATTGCTTTTCACGTGGCCACGCTGGCAGGACCCCCAATAATACTGGGAATGAGCTGGCTGGCAATATATGACTCGGTGGTGTCTTGGCATCAGCGGTCGGTCACCTTTGGGTCAGCTTACTGCTTAGAACACCGTCTGGTAGGGAAGGAACCAAGAAGGACTGTGGCCAGGGTGGCTGGGGCGGCCCTGGAGGAAAAAGGGCAGGTGCCACCACAATATGCTGATTTGAAGGAGGTCTTCATTACCTTGCCCAATGCTTATGGCGAGATGAATTCTCCAGCCTTTGGACCAGTAGAATTCATGCCAAACTCCTGAGCTATGGAATCTCTCCTTTAGATTCCCTAAAATTAGATCAAATCACTGCTCAAAGACTGATCCGCCAAAGACTGGATGACATCGATTTACAGTGAAATTATATGCTGGGGGGAGGTGTTTGTTCGCCCCAGAACATTGGTATCACTTTAACTTACTGCGTTCCATCATACCTCTCCTCCCTTTCGACTGTTGCCCATAGGCTGGCCTTCACCAAAGCGAGGTTTAATGTTTTTCCCTCCAATGTCCTGAGACATAGATTCTCAAAGGGCCAAACCTCCGCCATGTGCGAATGTGATAAGGAGACGCCGGAGTCGCTTCAGCACATTATGTTCACTTGCCCCTTATTCAAGGTGCCACGGGCAAATTTGTTGGGATCAATCATACAGAAACTAGAGGGTACTCCACCAAAATTCCACCTTGCCCAAATCTTGCAGGATAAGGATACCCATACGACCCTGAAAGTGGCTAGGTTCCTGGTCGCTGTCCTTACCCAAAAGCGTTGCCAAGGAGCACCACAAGCTAATTAAGGCGTAGTATGCCATTCCATCTTATAGTAGTTTATTGTTATAGTAGTGTTTTAGCGGCTGTTTTTTCCCATGTGCACAGGCTGTTATTTATGTCTTGTTTTTATCTGTATGGACCTACGGCCGTAATAAATTAAATAAAAATAAGGAGGTCTTCAGCGAGGGAGGCAGACCGACTGCCCCCCCACAGGCCATTTGACTGCCAAATCAACCTGCTTCCAGGGGCTCAGTTACCGGTGGGTAAGCTGTATGCCATGTCCGACCGGGAGATGCAGGAGTTGCGACAGTTTATTGACAAGAACCTGAAGAGGGGTTTCATAAGGGAATCAAAGGCGGTGGGGGGCAGTCCAGTGTTCTTTGTGGACAAAAAAGAGACTAATCAGCCCAGACTAGTCGTGCATTACAGGGCCGTAAACCTGGTGTCAGAACCCGTGACTTTCCCAATGCCCAGGATTGACGATATTTTGACACGTGTGAGGCAAGGGAAGATTTTTACCAAGCTGGACCTCAGGGGGGCATACAATCTGATTAGGATAAGGGAGGGGGACGAATGGAAAACGACCATGTTCACCCCCCTGGGGGCTTTTGAGTACTTAGTCATGCCATTTGGATTACAATCGGGGTCCGCCTGCTTTCAAGCCTTCATGCATCATGTGTTGGGGCCCCTGCTGTACAAGAATTGCGTAGCCTTTTTGGATGACGTCTTAATCTATTCGGACAATGAAAAACAACACGTCAGAGATGTCAGGGAGGTGCTACAGAGATTGAAGAAGCATCAGTTGTGGGTCAAGCTGGGAAAATGCCAATTCCACGCCAGGGAGGTCGAGTTCCTGGGGTACAGGTTGTCAGACAAAGGACTGGCCATGGATCCGGGCAAGGTGAAGGCAGTGCTGGAATGGAAGGCCCCCCAAAACAGAAAGGATGTGCAGAGGTTCCTAGGCTTCAGCAACTTCTACAGGAAGTTCATAAAGAACTTCGCTCACTTGACAGCGCCCATAACGGATTGTCTTAGTAGCAAAAAGAAGTTCGCATGGACAGAGGATGCGCAGCAATCCTTTAAAAAACTGAAGAAGGCGTTCGCCTCGGAGGAGCAGCTCCTGCACGTGGATCCGGAGAAGCCCATGAGACTGAGACGGACGCGTCCGACCGCACGATTGGAGCGGTACTTTTGCAACCCGGGTCCAAGGAGAACTGGAGACCGTGTGCCTTTTTCTCTAGGAAGCTGAGCAAGTCGGAGCAAAACTACACGGTGTATGACCAAGAACTGCTTGCGATCTATGCGGCATTTCGGCAATGGAGACATCTCTTGATAGGGGCGCGGCACAAGATCCAGGTCCGAAGTAACCACAAGAACTTGGAATACTGGCAGACCGCGCGAGTGCTCAACCAGAGACAGATCAGATGGTCCCAGGAGTTCGCCAAGTTTTTCTTCGAGATACGATATGTGCCGGGAGGGGAAAACGTAAGGGCAGATGCACTCTCCAGGAAACCGGAGTACATGGAAGGGGAGGGGCCACCAGAGAC